TCAATTGCTTACAGTAATTTTATTTGCAGGAAGTGTATGTATCAACAAAACCTCTTCATGACATTAAATAAAATAGAAACTACAGAAATCCCAGCACTCCAAAAGTGTGTAGGGGAGCATTGCACACTCTGGATGAACAACCAGAGTGCTTGGACTTGTGATTTCCTGATTTCTATCTTTGTTTTTAACAGCCCTTCATAGCTTTGAGCAAAGCACTTCCCCTTCTTTTTCACTACCATTGATAAAATAGGATAATGATATTTAAGCAGAATATTTCATAAAGATGTTATGCAGACCCATTAATAAATCCATTTGCAGGTTACCTTGATTACCTTCAGTATGTCAAAATGTCACTACTGAGCTTGCTGACTGCACTTATTTAATTTCCTAGTTCTACTCAACTTCTAGATTATAAAATGATACTTGGTGGCATAACTTATGATACAACTAAAACTATCACCCTGAAAGTCAGTTCAACACTTATCCGCTACTCCTTAGAAAAAGCTATAAAGTACACAGATTGTCTTTTCTTTTCTTCAGTTATTATAAAGATTTATTTGATCTCTAGCTCTAATATCCACTGAAGGTTTTCTCTGTCAGTATTAACTTCTTAGATCAATAAATTGCGATACTGATCTCCAGAGAAGTCAATGTCTGCCTACTATCATTTCAGTGTTTACCCTTGTTGAAAAGCAGTTGTAGCAAATTAAATTGGCTTCTGTCAGTGGATGATATACACTGGATGGTCCATATTTTATGGTACAATTAACGAAGGTTGATACATAGGCCTCTTCCTGGAGAAGATCGGATTAAAGACAAGGGTTTGTAGCAAGAAAAATCCCGATTTATGAGGTGAGGTGAATCTGTTCTCATTTAAAGAACAGTTGCTGAAGACTGAAAGATGACTATTGTTTTCAAAGAAGCATGGTTTTAACAATGTGCATTTATATATACTGGATCTTCTGGAAAAACACTGACTACATTCTCTAATTTGCCAATAGACAGTTTATGTCAGTATGTGGATTTATGAAACATTCTGTTTTGAGGCAGGTATACTGTGCTGGTTTGGGTGGGATAGCATTCATTTTCTTCATAGAAGCTAGCATGGGGCTATGTTTTGGATTTGTGCTGGAAACAGTGTTGGATCATACAGGGATGTTTTCACTACTGCTGAGCAGGGCTTACGCAGAGTCAAGGCCTCTTCTGCTTCTCACACCACCCCACCAGCCAGTAGGCTGGGGGTGCACAAGAAGTTGGGAAGGGACACAGCCGGGACAGCTGACCCCAACTGACCAAAGGAATATTCCATGCCATATGGCGTCATGCTCAGCATATAAAGCTGGGGGAAGAAGAAGGAAGGAGGTGATGTTCGGCGTTTGTCTTCCCAAGTAGCCATCACACGTGATGGAGCCCTGCTTTCCTGGAGATGGCTGAACACCTGCCTGCCGCGAGCGGCTGTGTGGTGCTTAGTTGCCGGCTGGGGTTAAACTACGACATATACACAAGTGGAAAAAACAAAACAAAACCAAGCCTGTAACTACTTTAAAACAGCTCCAGAAAGAGCCGCTTTCTCTTGAATCTAGCTAAAATGGTGGGAATCTGTCCTCAAGCAGGATCCCGATCCTGGATCTCCAAACAGGATGCAGAAGTGGGAAAAGTTTGTTCTCTTAGACTTCTTTTCTTCCTTTCCCTTGTTATCAAGAAATTTCCTGATAGTTAATCACATTTTTAACATTACTCTCTGAGGATAAATGATTAGCATGGCCTGGCAGTGAATCCATGGTACCTGTTGGATGCAGTTGCACAATGAGGATGTTGTATATTTAGGCTGATCAACTCTAGAAATTAGAAGAAAATTTGGGCATTGTAATCATACAACAATTATTGGCAAAATTCTAATAATGTCCATTTGCTGGATTTTAACAGCCTGCTCGAAATTAAAAAATGGCCTAAAAGCAATGAAAGGCAGGCTCACAGGGTTGTTTTCGACATGGGCAAGACAGTATTTTCTAAACTGTTCTGAGAAATACTTGAATTGCTTGGTATTCAGGTATTTCAAAAATGGAATTTAGATCATTAAAGCTTTGCAACATTCTGTGCCCTCCAGAACACTCAGAGGTTTCCAGCAACGCAGGGAAAAGGCTCAGTCTACAAAACCCAGCTGTGGTATCACTGTGCATCAAAAATACATTTTAAAATGTTACAGTTGCACAGCAAAGTACTGCAAAATTAGGACATGTCCTAATTTACCTAATTTTGCCTAATATGTGTAATTATGGTACAAATTATGTTTAACATCTACTACAACTTATAAGATATGATTATAGCCTAATGGTGTAGCATCTTCTAGTTAATTTATAACTAACATCTATCAACTTTAAGCCAGACTTAAAGTGAGTGCTGCTTTTATAAGAACAGAATTGATTTAGGCAAGATCAGATAAAAAGTCCTTGTTGGGTGAATTCCTCACAGAGGTACTTTTTTGTGTGTATGGGGAGCTTTAGACTGCAAAGTGTGATTATGACAAATAACCCGTGGACGGTACATTTAGGTGGGAGGTGTGATGTTTGAAATTGTTAATACGTCCCTTCAGGAGGGCAAGCTGACAACATGTCTCAAAGCAGTGATTAATTTGGAAAGGTTTTTTTTTTTTAATAGCTCAAGAAACAACCCTTTTGGTACTGTCTCACTCAATTCTCCACTATAATAAACTGTGTTAGCGCCACTGGATTTAATTAATTTACACTGGCAGAGAAGCTGCTCTGCATTCCTTAGAGAGGAAAATTGCTGAAGTTGTTGGAGGAGCCACTGAGGGTATGTATACGTGGACAGCTGTAGCCAGACACAGGCTTTTCTGCCAATGCTCCTATCTGGCCAGACACAAACCATTTGCAGTCCAGAAGCTATATAGTCACGGTGTCTCTACAAATATACCCCACCTCTCAGCAACCTTTCAGGCACGGTGCCACATCAGCGTGGCATCCAGACCTGGGCTGGCTCGTGTCCAGTCATCACAGAAGAGCGGATGTTTTTCTGAGGCCATCATGTGGATGTTGCCTTGACAAGTTTTGTCAAAGCAACTTCGGTGTCCTCAGGGCTGTTCGACCTTTCTTAGACTCCAGCTATTACTGAAGAAATTGCGGCTCGTGTGGCATACAGGTACCAATCTGCTTTGCAGATTTTCGTACTGAGGCTGTTTCAATGCTTAAAAGATTGAACTGCCTTCCTGCGCACTTCTAATTGCAAATTAGGGCACTTGATTTGGTTTGGAAAGCAGCTACTGGATTTTTTTCCCTCTTAGGTTTTTTTCTGTTCTGTGTAAATTAAAAGACAAATTGTCCTCAGCTGAACTGTTGGCTTTTGAGACAGAATGTTCTCACAGAAGAGGTCTCCAGTTTTGTCTGCACTTTGAGTTTAATGTAAAAGAACTATGTTTCACTTCCTTTTAGTAAATATTATCAGCCCGTTTCCTTGATCATCAAGTGCAGGAGTCCGTGTTAAAATTTGTAATGTTTCTGAATACCAGAGCGATGGATTCAACAAAGATATTGGCTTTCTGACATGTTATAATCTCCCTTATTCCTCAACAACTTCTCTGTGTTCCGTGGATTATAAACTACCTGTCTCTCTTTTCTCTTAGGGAATAATTACCATGGCTCCCTCCTTTCTCCTTTACTTGCATCCCTTTTATTTAGCAAGTAACTGTTGTCTTTTCTTTCAGGTATGGTGTAACTGATAGGTATCTGATTAAACTCAGTGATTTTCTCAGTAGGTGTCAACTTCGAAGTCTATGCCCTCTATTTCAGATCTGACATAGGGATTTCGTACCCAGAATTTTGTCTCAGTTTTCATCCTGTACTAGTTGGTTGGCTAAAATATGATATCTCTGCATAAAAATCTTCTGATGAATGAATTGTTAGAACTTTGTGGGTGGTGCGGTATTTTTCACTTGCAGAATTTGGGCTTATCGAAGGGGTCATAATAGATTCATAGCAATGTGAAACCAGATATCTGATTAGTTAATTGCATAAGCTGAATTCATTAAATCATTCTGCATTGCAATGCCACAGCGTAAAAAGGAAATGAACTTCTGGCCCATGCAAACTTGTTTTTTTATATTCTCCATTACATCTTTTCTGTTTTATTGGTGGTGGTGGTGGTGGATTTTTTCATTTTAGCACTTAAGGACTTATTCCCAAGAAGTATTATATATTCTAGTTTTCTCCAGAACAGTCTTGGTATTGGTTGTGTATTTTTTTAAATCCAGATTTTATTCTTCTATTATTATTACCATTCCAAATTATTAAGAGTTTCCACACTTCTTCTCATATCTGTCACATCTGTAAAAATAATGACCATGCTAACCAACAGGTTACTGAAATATCACCTAAAAAAGAATGGGTTTTTAAGTCAATCTTTCAAGCATTGACCGGATAGGTCCATTGAAGTATGCTGACTTATTTTCATTATTAACTTTGCTGTTCACTGTTTCTTTTCATATATTAGTGCTCGTTTGTAAGATATATTGACTCATGTGAAAGTGATCCTTTTTTAAACTTCGATCCAAACATTTTCCTGCAATATATTGCTTTCCTGTTGATTTTGCCTTTTAACTTTACTGTTGGGCCATCCAAAAAATAATAAAATTTAAAAAAAAAAAGTATATCATAGCTTGTTCTAGATGAACAAATTTTTGTGTTCTCAGTTATCCTCTTGTATTACTTTTTTGTAGACACAGTATGTTTGCTTATTTGTGCGTACGTTTCAGCCTTTGAATGGGGAGTTCAGTTAAAATAAAGGAAATGCAAAGTACTTACCCATTAGTGAAATACTTACTTTTACTAATTAAAAGTAAATATAGTACAGATTGCAGTTGCATTGTCAACCTAATTCTGTTGGATTTTCAGTGTTGTTTTTGAGCTCTTTTTTTTTCCCAAAATGTAAAAAGATTTCCGTAGAACTTGATTGGAAATGTGAACTCCTGTGTGCTTTTCTTTCAGAGTACGGACATGAGTCCAGCTAGTAGCACCACCTCACTCCCTGTTAGCCCTCTTCCTGAGGAGCCATTATTTTTCAAGGTACAGTTAATTCATTTCATAATAAATATTGTATATGAATTTTAGCTAATCATGTTATCTAACGTACTATTGAAGTCCTATTACTACTGCTTCCTTTTCTTTAAATTACTGTGATACCAGCAGACGTTCTTATGTGTCACAATACCATGCAGTTTTCAAGAAGTACCTAGAATAAAACGTTATCGGTTTTGAGAAGTTTATTCTTCCAGCAGACTAGAGCTATAAACCGTTATTTATAAGACTGTGTTTTTATCTATCTCATCTGCCGGTGATACATTTTGATATGTGCATTCCTGTATATGTGTGTGTATGTCATTTTTCATAAACAGATTTATCTTTATATTGCATTTCAAATACATGTTTTAATGAAACAATGATTAGTTACTGCAAAGATACAGGAGACATTAAAGATCTGTCAAAGAACAGTTTTGGCATAAATCCAATGTAAGCCATAGGCCTGTCATTTTAGTGAATTTTAATAATAAATGATGGGATGATATCTGCAACTTCGAAAGGTTTAAGCTGTGAGGAACAAGTGGCCCTATGTCACCTTTTCACCTGAATTCATGGTATCCAGCACTGGGACACAGAATGGCCTTAGGCAGAGCCCGACTCTTGGAAGAGGTCTCCTGAGGCCACCCAGGTATTCAGAGCAGTGCTGCGGCTGCAGGCGAAGCGGTTGCCTTGCCAGTTGTTTGCTGAGGCAAGGGAGAGGGAACCTGGGTTTTCAGCACCATTGTCTCAAACGTGTGTCACACTATGGACAAAGTTACACTCACAGGAACATCCCTTTTAAAATTTCCCCTTTCCCCAGTAAGTTTCTGCCTACTGTATGAAAACAATTAGTAGCTTGGCTTGTGTTTTCAGTTGCTTTGTGATGATGCTGAATTAAGGCTGAGGAAGTAGAATTAATGAAGTTTGATGATGTAAAGTTTGCGTCTCTCCTGCACTTGCCTCCAGCGCTGGAAATACCAGCCTCCTTCAGACCTGGCCAACCCCATAAAAAAACTTGGTGGTTTTTTTTTTCTTTTTCCCATATTTTGTATGTCTGTGCAAGAGTTGTACCCTACAGTTCATAACCAGCTAGCTAGCCAGCTGATTCCTGTTACTAGAACTGTGTTAAGGACAGTTAAGGACTGTGCTTGCTTGGGGGTTTCATCAGTGGAGGTACAGATGGGATATCTGTGGTCAGCTGTTCACCGATTCTCATTCCTCTTTTGGGATTTAATGTTTTCAAGACCCCTAGCTCTTGATCAGATTTGGCTGAAATTGAGCAATGTTGTACCAAGATACTAGAGCACACAAGTCTTTTTTCCTTGGGAAGCCACATTAAATGCACGTTGAAGTCCACTCAACATTATAAGACAGATTCAGTAGTTATTGTTTCTCCCTGTGCCTGGGAAACCACTAAGATACATCACATACAAAGAAATGGGCTGCTCAGCTCAGATAAAGGTGTAAGAGGTAAGAAAATCTAACTTGAAATAGTTACAATAAACTCTCATGCTTTTAAATTCTCAGCTGAAGTAAGGAAACACTGCTCTGTTTGCATCAGGAGCACTCTGACAAATACACTGTAGTGCCTTTATTTATTTTTAAAGGAAATGGTGCTTGTATAGCTCAAAATGGGTTGCAAATGACTTCTTTGAAGTGGAATAGTTGCTCTAATAAAAAAATGAAGGTATTCATATTAAAAGTCTCCTTCCTTTATATTTAATAGTAGAAAATGGTACAAGAAACTGGAAAAAAAGGGCAAGAAGCATTATTTAATCTTTCATTTTCAGTCAGTTTTCAGAACAGCAAACATTTTCCTTTGGAATTCAAGTAAAATGGAAGCCAGACCAGGAAAAAGTCAAATACATCTCACAGCCAATGTCCTTAAGTAGAAATAAAAGTAATATAAAATCATAGAATCATAGAATCATAGAATCATTGAGGTTGGAAAAGACCTCTAAGATCATCG